AGAGATATGAAGAGGGAGGCAGAGTTTGGAGTGATTGTGGCCTAATTCCCAGAACAGCAATAGCAAGGAATGGATTCTCTCTGAGAGCTGCTAGAGGGAGCGAGGCCGTGACGGTACTTTTGATTTTGGAATTTTGGCCTCTACAATTGTGAGAAACTTTGTTGTTTTAAGCCACCAAATTTGTGCTTATTTGTTACAGTAGCCCTAGGAACTAATACATACTGTTTAGGACATTATCTTTTTAGAAAAATAATAGAAATAGATCAACATGAGGATCCAGTTAGAATTCCCCAACACACTTTTTTTGGGTAAAACACCAAAATATCATTTAAGAAAAAAGAGAGCAAAAATTTTCGTATTATTGGAAAGGTATGTGGAGAAATGTTTCAAAAACATGTATTTCAAAGATGTCTTGTGGCCTTGGTGCAGCTGAATTTGAAGTTTGTCAACACTGGCTCTGAAACAAACCTTCTAGCTCCTGCACAGACATCCATAGACTTGGTACTACTTAGAGGACAGTATTTCCAAAGCTATCCTATCATCTTAGATTAGTAGCCAATTCTCCACTAAGAAGTATATACAGAGACAGATATAAACTATGATGTGTCCCCAGAATGAGATTTCTGCTGGCCAATAGCACGGAAGAGGGGAACCTTCTCTTGCTATCAAAGATACTGTGTTCTCGGCTTCAGAAGGCTCTCTGCAGCCTTGTCTCGCCTTGTCTCTGTACCAGCAGTCCTCGTTCACAACCCTCACCTCCCCAGCCCCAGCCTAAGCCCAGCTCACTTAGTTAGGCCAGGCTGTCCTGTTTTTCTTTCTCCATGCTCAATCTTTGTAAAAAGTTCCACTCACATTCACGGTTTCAGTTGCCTCCTGTACATCAGTGACTTCAATGTCCAACTGTTAACATAGACTCTTTCCAGAAGATACTCATGAAAATATTTCACTTAACACAGACTTTGTCTTACCAAAAAATTCGTTCCGTCATGCACTAAAAAACGATTCCTTGCTGGCTTAATTTATCATTGGTGCTCAATCCCTCTGGTTCTGCTAATATAATCAGATATTTTCCTTTTTCCTTCAGCCTCTGCATCTAAGCCATTAACCAATTTTCCAGTTATTCCTTTTAAGAATTTCTTGGGCTCCCCTTCTCATCACAGCTCCAACCTTATTTACTTCATGCTTTTAGACTCAAGCAGACTACAAGATGGCTGGGTTAAGTCTAGGTCTGCCATTACCCTTCCCTAGGATATCTTTCAAACCATGGTCAAAAGTTACTTGAATCATATTACTTCATTTCTAGTATGGAAAGATACTCACTTTTTTCTGCCAGCCATGAAGTTCTCCATCACTAGTTGATTTGCTCAGAGAATCTAACACTGACCTGAGTAAAACCAATAGGAGTATAAAGCAAACAATACATACATTTTAAAGCAAAATCCAACTTTTCCTGTTAGCCATCTGCATAGTATGGATAACAGAGTATGATCTTTTAGTGGAATATCCTATTAGATTTTCACTTATTTGATACTTTTTGACTTGTCTTTTCCACCACTGATAACGTTGAGTACCTTGCCAGCAGGGACTGGATTTATCCGTTGTTTCTTCCCTTTGCCCCCAAACACAGCACGTTGCATTCAAAGTTTGACAATGAAGTCATTATCAACTTAGCAAGGGGGAATATGTTCTGAGAAATTTGTTACATGATTTGTTGTGTGAATATCATTGGTTGCACTTACACAAACCTATATGGCATAGCCTACTACACACCTAGACCATATATGTGATCTGTCATTTATGGAAACATTATATGGCACATGACTGTAATAGTTCCCTGTTCTGAACTTAATGCTCATAGGGGACATAAACTACTACACTATAAATAGCAATTTTAATAGGTAATAATGGCAGATAACAAAAACATTAAAGGCTTTGATTTCTGCCTATTTAAAAACTGCTATAAACCTTTAAACTTAGGTAAGTATCTGATTCACATAAAAATCCTGTAAGATCTATAAGCTGTCTAGTTTTCAGAAAAACCTGCATTTTGACCAAAATGCTTATTATTTCATTTATGTCACTGTATTAGGAAAATCAGGTTAAACTAGATTCATAAAATAGTAAAAACTGTCTCCACATATTTTCAAAGACTTTATTTTTTAGAGGGGAAGGTAGGGAGAAAGGGAGGGAGAGAAACATCACTTTGTAAGAGAAACATCAATCAGTTGCCTCTCACACTCCCTTAACCAAGGATCTGGCTGGAAAGCCAGGAATGTGCCCTGACCATAATCCAACTGGCAACCCTTTGGTTTGTGGGGCAATGCCCAAACCACAGAGCCACACATCAGGGACAAATTAGAAATTACTGATTGCCTATAAATGATAAAACAAGGTAGACACGTTATATTGAATACATCTGTTGATTTAGATACAAAAATCAGCTAGCTTTCCCTAATATAGGCCAGTATCTTTTAATTCTTAAGGTAGATCCGTAATATATAGGCCACTAACAATGATGTTTTAGGGAATGAGTTCAGCCCTGGCTAGGGGGTGCAGCCTACAGGAACAACTGATTGATGTTTCTCTCTTGCATCGATGCTCTTTCTCCTTTCCTCTTGCTCTAAAATCAATAAGCACATCCTCTGGTGAGGATTAAGAAAAAATTGAGAGCAAGTTCAAAGTATGTACAACATGAAATATATATATATTTAAAAGATTTTATTTACTTATTTTTGGAGAGGGTAGGGAGGAAGAGACAGAAACATCAATGTGCGGTTGCATTTCAGGCACCCCATGCTGGGGACCTGGCCTGCAACCCAGGCATGTGCTCTGCCTGGGAATCAAACCGGTGACCCTTTGGTTCACAGGCTGGTGCTCAATCCACTGAACCACTCCAGCTAGGGCTGAAATAGGTTTTTTAAATCTGAAAAGTACCTGTAGTATTTAGAAAACGGAGGTATTTAGCAATATTTTATTTCTACCTTTCTAAGATAAATATCAAAACTACAAACTTCATTCTTCCATTAATAGGTTTAGTAGCCTATTTTGGTAAGTATCAATATCCTAATAAAGGCTCATGCTGCATATTTCTCCCAATAGCCAGTTAAGGGAACTGTAGTTCTACTCTCAACCTAACACTTCTCTCATGCACTTGTAAAAAACAAGCTGTATTGATGCACTGCAACAAGTTACAGATTTTTTGAAGAGTCCTATAAATCACAAGTTGTTAAGGCTCAATGATAAGTTGAGAGAGATAAGCCTGCAAATGCTAAAATTTCTCAGATAAGGTTGTAGTAATATTAATTTTAAAATACTATAACTCCTCCCTGTATTTTCAAGATTTAATAGAGAGGAGAGAGAACAGATGGGGATTTAATTCAATGAAGACACAGATTGAGGTAAAGTAAAAATAGACTGCAGTGATGAGTTTTGATTTTTTTGTTGCCCCACATGTAAAGATGATTAAAAAGCAAAGCAATGGAGGTAATGGAGGTTTTAAAGCTTTCTATGCATAATATCCACGAGGTAAATATTTACAAAAAAGAGTTGAGTCAACATAAAAAGTCAAATAGGGCTTTTACACTTTTTAGAAAAATTCAGTGAACTATCCTTCCGGTTTTCTTCTAAAATTCAAGTTTCTCCAAGTGTCCTTGGGGACATGAAAAAGAACTCAAGTTTTCTGATTGAATTACTTTAGCACTTTTCCATTTAAGCACTTAAGTATTTCTACGTATGATTTGCATCCCTAAGGTGCAGTTACTATTTTGTATGGGACACAATGGTGTTTTCTGTGTAACTACAGCCTTATTTCTATCAGCAGAATACAAAATTAAAAATATATTGACCTAGAGGATGATACTTGCATTTATTTTACTCTCTTTAACTCCTATGAAGTAGGTGCCACTATTATTCCCATTCCACAGATAAGGAAATTGAGGCATCTAACCAGGGTCACAAACTAGGAAGTGGTGAAGCTAGGATTAGAAACCCCAGAAATCTGGTTCCAGAGCCTATGTTCTCATTCACCATACTAAACCATTCATTTTGTACCCCTAACACTCACCTGAAATTAATGTATTTCCCACCAGATAAGTGGTTCTTAAACAGTGTGATTTTGCCCTTCAATACCTGTTCTCCCCCACAAACCACCCTAAAAATAACTAGAGGACACTTGGCAATGTCTGGAGATAATTTTTGTTGTCACAACTTGAGGCTAGGGATGGCATTACTGGCACCTAGTGGGTGGAGACCAGGATGCTGCAAAAATCCTATAATGTACACGGCAGCACAAAACATCTATAGTGCTGAGGCTGAGAAACCCAACCATGGAGCATAAATTCTAGGAGGGGAGGGTCCTAAGTTGATCTCAGTTGCTGCTTTATCCTCAGACCTAGAGCCATACTTGCATGGAAATACTTAAATTTTATCTGTTAAATATTACCTGTTTTTAAGAGCCTAGAACTCAGCTTGATACGTAGTGGGCAATGAACATTTGAATTAATGAGGGCACTCTCAGAGGGTCAAATGAATGCAACAAGATGTGGTAAACTGAAGTAACTTTAGTGCTCCACAGACCCACATCTTTTGGGTTCAGTTCTGCCAAAGTCAGTCTCTTAGTTAAGTGCGGCTACTGCGAGAACAAACTTTTTTTTTTATAGATACATGCAACCTTTAAATACATATTTAACTCTGTGTAAGGAATAAGAACTTTTTCTTCTTATATGAAAGCCTTTAAATATCCCATTCAGATAGCATGTATTTAGGGAATTAGCAGACATCCCTAAATTAGATGATATCCCTAAATTAATTGATGATATGCTCCAGTGGCTGATAAATGCTTTGAGAAAGTTTGGGTTAAGATTTGTTTACAAGTTATCAAAAGTCCCCCAAAATTGAATTACAGCACACATAAGACAAAGACAGATGTTACCTAAAAAGAAAGTAGTACTTGAGTCAACTTCATTCAAAAAATTTTATAACCATAGTATTCTAGGTATAACTTCATCCTATATTTTTAAAAAAATCCATAGGTGTTAACATCTGCCCAAAATATTTTTAATTGTTCCTCCTACACCTCAAAGAGCTATTGAACGCTACCCAAAAGGCATATGTTCTTAAGTAATATCGCTTGATTTACAAAATTCTTTCCCAAGGAAAAATTCAGAAGGTGGCTATATGGCTATTTAAACAATACTAGGAAAAAAAATCTGTCATCTTTCACTCATTATTTCTGAACTTAATGAGTCTGGCTTGCCCAAATGTTAAATTATGAAACCACACTATGTAAAATGCACCTATTACATTTAAAAAGAAGTTAAATCTATATTTATTTACTAGCACTGTTAAACATTACACAAAACACATTCAAGTGGCAAGTAATTATAATGCAAGCCCTTGCATGGCAATCCAAATTTATTGAACTACTGATGCTAAGTTATACAAAATTGCACCACTTTAATTAAGGCTTTTAGTTTACATTTGGCCACCTCTAAGTAGATGTAACATTAGGTTGGTCAATTTAAATACTGTGGCTCCATGTTGGATAGACACACAATCTTTACACCCAAACGTTAATGCATACAAAGCAACAAGGCATTGTTAAATAAAACAGCAAGTTACTGCAACTTAGGCCTTGTGACCAATTACACATGATTAAAATTACTTCCCACATTCACATCCACAGTACTCGTCCACCATTTAACATCTCAACCAAAACGTTACACATGTGAAACAATCACTAACAGGCAAAAATACTAAACCTGTATATTTGGTATTGCAAATACACTTATGCATGAGCAAGCAAGGGATTCACAGTGAGAATCTACAGCTGCAGAAGCCTGAAAATGATTTACAAAAATTGTTAAATCATTAAAAAATTGTTTGAAAATATACACTTCTTGTTGTAGACCCCCACTGTACATACAACTATAAACACTGTTCCCTATGTAAACAAAAAAGGAAACATATAATAAGAGATTTGAAAAATCTGGACATTTCCTTCCCAACAGATATTAAAGGCAACGTCTTTAATCTAAGACATTATACTGAAAGGACTATCGTATTTTAAAGACAAGATCACTGTCTCCACAGGTTTTTTAAAAATTAAAAAAACTATATAGCTGTGTTAATCAAAGCGCGTATTTGTACAATACAATGATAATGACCTTGATTTTCTTAAAAAAAATTACAATAAGCTACAAGTATCAAAGAAGCAAAGTTATCTGGAGTAGTCTATATAGGAGCTCTTTGGACTTTCTTTTATTATGCTAAAATAGTGGTGCTTTTAGGATTTACATTATTGTACTCTCCAATACAAAGTATGGGGTGTGGTAAAGTATACAGTACACCATTTTCATACATGTACAACATTGGTGGATGAAAATGTCTCTCTTATTAGTAATACTGGATTGTAGCCTCTGGTTTTACCAGCTGCATACTCTAGGACTATTATATAAGTAAAAATCTCTCTTGTGATACTGGAAAGTGATTAGAATGTGCAAACTGATGTAGTAGCTTTCATCTGCCTCTTAAAGGGTACCACCACAGAAAGTCCATTTAAGATGTCGGTAGGTTTAACAAAGTTGGAATGCTGGCACTGTTGAATTGGGCAACAGTTCTTCAGACCTGTGAAAAGAAAAGAGTAAACTGAAAATTGGGTTGAACACAGCACACAAAGAGCCAAAGGAAAACACTAAGATAACAGTGGTCAAGTGTTACAAATGAATAGAAGGCAGGCTCTTGTCCTCTCATCACTACATTAATGAAATGTACCACAACTCATAGCAAAGCAAAGCAAGGGTACACGTTTTCACCTTTCTTGGAATGACATCATCGATTCTGCTTTCTCCCGAAAGTCAAATGACAGTTTTAGATAAAAAAGGGAGTATCCCTTAGTATAAATTTCTATATATTACCTTCCAATGATTAAAAGCGAGGGGAAAAAAACCTCATCAAAATTTTAGGTCAGGTTAACTTTCTTACATCCACAAAATGTGTGATGGTATAAGAAGAGTTTTTACAATCCTAGAATTACATTTCACTAGGGTTTCTAGTATCAGAAAATCAAAACCATTCTTCCTCACTCTCCCAATGAGAGTGGTTAGAAAGCTGGTCCAGAGAAGCAGACAAAACAGAATTTATTTCATGATGGCCTATGTTCAGTTATATACTTTCAAATTCCACATTTAAACAGATTCTATCAACTTTTAGATGCAAGTCAGAAAAAGTAGGTATTAAACTAAAATGAAAACTTTAAAAAATTGTGAACGATGTAAACCAAAGATGTAAAATAAGAACCTATTGTCTGCCAAATATTTACTTCGGATGATTTTCTGCATACATGCCTGGGCTAAAAAATGTTTCCTTTTTTACTGTTTTCCCGGGGAACAGACTTGTTGCAAGCTCCAAAGATGCTGTTAATGTGGTTGCTGATTTCACACATGCCTTGAACTTTAAGCCCTCATTTAAAGTCTGAATTTGCTGAGTTTCCCTAGCAGATGGAATGTAGCAAATTGGAAAGGATAGGTGGGAATGTATGAGTTCAGGCATGTGTGTGCTAGGAATGGGCATGTATCTGGTCAGGAATGAGCTGATAACAGAAATGAGAGGATATATGAGGTGGGACACCTAAAAAATAGAAATTATCTTCATGAGGGCAGGAAACCCTTGTAGCACAGGCTTCTCCCACTAGGTGAGTGTTCTAGGAACCCACCTGTATCAGTGCACCAGCTGGCATTGTTGTGGGAGGCTGTTTGGCTTCAGTGAAATTTTTTGGAAGACTCACTGCATTTGCCCATTTCGTGATGGGTGATTTATGAACACAACTGCCCACACCATGCTGAGAGTTCAGCAGTTTTTGACCAAAAATGGCATGACCCTCCTGTGCCCCATCCTCCCTATTCACCTATCTTGCTCTGAATGACTTTTGTTTCCTCAGATGGAAAAAGTCCTCAAAGGGAAACATTCTGCCAATGTGGAAGAGGTGAAATAAAAAATGGCAGAAGCACTAAAAGGCATCAAAATTGGCGAGTTCAAAAACTCTTTTGAGCAGTGGAAAGAACATCTTGATAGGTGTACTGCATCAAATAGAGTACTTTGAAGGTGACTGAAGTATAAACATGTAAGAATAAATGTGCAATTTTTTATAAATAAATTCCAGGTTTTTGGGGGTCCTCTCCCCCATATTTCTAAACAGAAAGCAGGGTCAAAAACCCCAAAGAGATACAGGATCAGAGTGCTATGGTAGTACAGGGCCATTTAATAAAGGAAGAAGCAGAACCACAAACATCAAAAGAGCCCCAGGGTAAGAGTACAGTGCAATATGGTTTAATGAACACTGAGCAGGACACCACTGTTGTTGGCAAACAGCAATAGCTAGTTAATGGTTGATGATTTACCATGTACCACACTCTGGTGTAATTGTTTTATAAGTATTAACTCTCATTTAATATAATTATTTTCAAAAACTATATAAAAATGTTATACACTCAGTTTTCCTCTGCTGTCCCTTTTGTGAGTTGTATTTGTGGTTCTCTGTCTGGAACTCTTCATCCCCTATACAACTTCTATTTAACCTTAATATCTCAGCTTAGATGTCTCTTACTCTGACAGACTTTTCCTGAATCCACAGTTCACATGTAACACACCTGGTTTGGTGTCAATTACATGCGCTCCTACAGTACTCATAATAACTAAGCATGGGCTTGGGAGCCAGTCCATGACTCCAATTTTGAGCCTTGGACTCAAGATCACTGGATTCAAATTCTGCCTCTATTTACTAACTGCAGGGCTTGAAAAAGTAACAACCTTTTTTGTGTCTCAGTTCATTCATTTGTAATGTGGGAATAATAATAGTTCCTGTCTCATGGGATTGCTGTGAGAATTCAATTCATAAACAGATAGCACTTAAGAGTGCCTGGCATATAATGTGTCAGGAGTTCTTATTATCAGTACTGTGCTGGATTTATTCTATAACATTTATCATATTTTGTAATTATTTGTCTAACTCTTGCACTACACCTTAATTAGTGTATTAAGGTAAAGAAGAGGCAGAGATCAGTTTTGTTCATCACTGTAAGCACCAACCAGTGTCCCATTGGGGTATAACTATATATTAAATGAACTAGAATATTCATTTACGTAGAATGCTTTACTTCTGATGATATATAAATGAATTATTTTAATCACTAGGATATTGTACTAACTCATGGATATCTTAAAAGGGAAGTAACCATCTCTTTCTTAGAACAGCGAAAAACTGTATGTACTTGCTTTCTTAACAAGAGTACCCAAATCAAGCTGAGGTTAAAAATTAGAGGAAAAGATTAAAAAAACAAACAAAAAAAAAAAAAAAAAGGAAAAAAAATTAACGTACCTGGCTCAGAGCTACAATGCATTTAGTATATTAAAGCAGCTGACATGATGACTTTTTGCGGGCTTTCCCAGGCACTGGAGTTTTTCTGTTAATTTGCCGCACTAGGTCATAAAAGATCTGCAAATATATTATTTTTATATATTATTTTTTTAATTCACAGAAGAAAAAACCCCTCAAAAAACAACAAAAAAAGTAAAATAAAGTGAACTTTCCATGGATATAAATGAACCTCAGAAAGCAAATATTTTATTCAGTTAAGAAATGAAAGTAAAACAAGGTTTTCTTATAACTGCCAAGTTCTTTGCTGTTTATTTTTTGGGAGGGCTAAAATTGTTCTCCTTAAAATGAGTACTGACTTGAAGGAGCTGCAGAGATCTTAATCTTACTTCAATTAGAACATTTACCATTATACAAAGAAAACAATCCTTACTCTTCAAATCTTTCTATGTATCTTTACATGACTTTAAGCCCCTTCAAGCAAGAACCATGCATGCTTTTTTGAATTTGCTCTTTTACATAACATCCTTCATATACCTGAACACTTAATTTGTCTCCCCCATGCCTACCATTTTAGGTCCAGCCTTGCTTCTTTTCCTGGGTAATTCTACTTCAATAAAGAAGCTAGAATATCATTATTGCCTATCACCTTGCACATATTTAACATAAGATTTCTGCCTACAAGGATCAACAAAGCATCCTGAGTACACATTAACTTTAAGTTGGGTTAATAGACCCACATTATTTTCCATTATTTTTTAATGTTGAATTACTAATAAGGTTTTTTTATTATTGCTGAAATTTTTCATTTAATATTTTCAGACCATGACTGGTCACGGGTAACTGAAACCACAAAAATTGAAACCAAGGAAAGTGGAAGACTACTTGTAATAATGTATTTTATTTTTTCGTATTTATTTTTTATTGTTCAAATACATTTGACTCCATTTACCTGCTACCACTCTCCCCTGCCCCACCCACCCCGACTCCCCACCCCGACTGAATTACTTATAGAGTTTTTAAAGTATATTTCACCGTACCTCATTAACATTTATTTTTGATTTTGCAGAGGATTCTAAGAATGCACAGTTGTTCCACTGTCTTGCTAGATTTTGACCTTGTTCCTTCCCTACAACTCTTTCATCTTCTAAGTCACACTTATTACCAACCAGAATCATTGGAACCTAAAAATATATTTGTGAGGGTAAAAACAAGTAAGTAAATAAATACATGATACAAATTCAAACTGAAAGAATTCTGAGAATCAACTCTAAGGATTATTTTTTGTATTATATCAGAAAAATACTAAATTATTAAAGTGTAATAAAATTACAGCAAAATATGAAAGGCTTAATAATGTTAATTTAAGAACCTTTCATGTGAAATTTTTAGAAAACTATGATCCACTTATAAAAGGGGAAATAACCCTTAAAATTATATCACAATGGACTTATAACTGATTAATCAAAATACAAAGCCTTTTCAAAACGGAAGTACAAAAGGGTGTTGCTGTAAAAAACCAATATATATCAAAAGTTTAAAATGTTTCTTTTAGACATGTGAATCAATATCAAGTATTCTGATTTCCTGTCATGCATTTAATCAAATAACTATCCTCAATTTCACAACTCAAAAAGGAGAAATTTGGAAAGTCCCTAAATCAGAATTTTTAGTTTCTCATGTAGTCTGTATTAAAATGTCAGAAAGTAAAATCATCTTAATTTACTAGAGATCTACACCATGTTCATCATGTATCTTGATACTGTGATGTTGTAATTTTAAAATGACACTATGGAAAATAATACTTAGTCTGCAAAACTCCCATTAATCATTTAGAAACTGAATTTTTAAAGAAGTTTTTGGGAAAAATCCAAAATTAAGAATTTTGGCTTTTTAGGGACAGATATAGAGGATTATATTAATAAATAGTTGTTTAATGCAACTGACAGGAGGAAACTACAGTAGTTACTAGAGACAGTACAAAACAGATTTACTAATTAAGAAATGCTCATTGAGTCTGGGCTGGTGTGGCTCAGTGGACTGAGTGTCAGCCTACAAACCAAAAGAAATGCTCATTGAGGTTGATGGAAATATGTAGGGTGCCCCAAAGTTCTTGTTTCAGACGTCTGGGAAACAATGGCATTTTCTAGGAGTCTCACAATATTTGCTATAATTAAACTATAGATAATACAGTGGTTCTTAAAAGTGTGGGGCCAGACCAGCAGCATCAACACCATCTGGAAAAACTTGTTAGAAATACAAATTCTTGAGCTCAATCCCAGACCTACTGAATCAGAAACTCCGGGAGTGGGGCCTGGCAATCTGTTTTAACCAGTTTTAACTGGTGATTCTGATGCAAGATCAATTTTGAGAACCACTCCTATATATAGTAAGATGAGGAATTAAAGTAATCCCTTTGAAGTTTCCTACAGGGATTAAAGTCCATTATGATGCACTTTGAAGGCACAAGTAAATTAACATTACATTCTAATATATTTATTGGTTTCCTTTAACAATTATTATTATGCCCCCTTTCTGTCATAGTTGCTTCAGATGTGTTCATATATAGTACTGATTCTCGTTAAAAAGGCTCTTAAATCTACCAGTAATGTGACCAGAACATCATTTGCTTTATTAGTAACATTTGTCACCCACATCACTCCTTCCTCCCCATCAAGCACAGATTTAAAAATGGAAAGAGTATAAATTTTATTTTATACAGATTAAGGGGAGAAAAGAGTGTTTCTCACTTTCCACACTATACATATTTGAAATATGTAGGAGGATTAAATATATATTTTGTCCTTTCAAGGAAAAAAGCTTTTGAAAAACAAGTCCCAAAATACAACAACTTTAAATTGGTTTTAAATTCTAATTTTTAAATTGGCTATCACTTCAAGAAGGGTTTAAAATAAAATACACTTATTAAGAAGTCAGCTTACATCATCAGTGTCTTTAACTCGAAGGATCTGTTCTCTCAGATCTTGTAAATCATTAAATGTGGACTGTGCTGTGATGGAATAAACTAATGCAAAGCCTTGTCCATTTTTCATGTACAAATCCCTCATTGCTGTAAATTGTTCCTACAATAGAAAGAGTTATTAAAGAACAATAATGTAACAGTTAATTTGATGATTTTCAAAGTCTATAATTAGAGCTCAAAGAAGAATACTGTGGTATTATGTAACATATCTTAAAATTACAGTCCACGGCAAGATGCTATCTGAAAAGCTGGTATCTCAAAAAATAAGTTTTTAATTTGAAAATGACACACCAAAGCAAATTTATGTGCAATAAATATACTTAAGTGGAACAGAATATTGTACCTCTGTAAGAAACTTAAAGGCAGTTTTTAAACATTTCATAATGTGTAGGACACCCAAATTAAATCTCCAAGTTGCTCACAGCCAGCTCACAATGTTCTAGGTTCTATGGGGCCCAATAGCATGCATACCTTTATCTTGCCATTTCCCCACACTTTTCCTCCTTCATTAGAGTCTTTGAGTGTTAAGAACATAGTCCAAGGCATATACCAGGTACTCAAACATTAGTTAAATGAACATCATATATTCAGAATAAATCTTCCCTTCACCTTCAGGTACCAACAAATCTAGTTGGTCCACAATTACTTTGAAGGAAGAAATACATCATTCAATATACTTCACAGTCACTTAGGAATAAATATGTATTATGTAAAAAATAAGTATTCCCAAATATTTTCTGCATTACTTAAAATGTTAGTAAATTTTAACTTGCTGTAAAAGTACCAGTGAGACTGAAAAATTTTCAGCTAAACAACTTTCTTATTTTTTAAATAACTGACCCCCTGTAATTATAAAGGACACACACAAAAAAGTAGAATTCGAGAATAAGAAAAACAGCTTTAAGATTTAATCCAAGTGGTACTTTTGGATAAGGCTAACTAGTATTTGTTTATAAAGTACTAGCATTCACAAGGTCAATATTGCACAAGTTGTGCATATATACTTTGGTACTTTGTCTTACATACCGTTCCTGCAGTATCCAAGATTTCAAGCATACACTGTTGTGCATCTACTTCAACTTGCTAAGGGAAAAATCATAAAACACCATTCTTTAGATGTACACAACACTATCTTAACACAAACAAAAGCTAGTATGATATTCAAAACAGAGACGCAGATTATAGCAACTCTTATCTCAAGCAACAGTTTTAACAGAAGAAAATAGATAGATAATCAAGACCCATCATCTCCAAGTTGTATTAGGTGCAAAAAACCATGTATTATGATTCAACACACAGACCTACAAGATCTTAGCTCAATATGAATCAGCACTTAATTCTGGAAAGGAAATTATTTCAAAATAGCTCAAAAAATTAAAACCAGTAATAGTTCCAATAACATCAGAAGTGATTCTGTCTACCTCAATTCTGCCATACTTTAGAAAGATCTTCAATTATCTAGATAACCACCTCTCTTTCACTGTATTGGAATACTTCTGGTATCAAGAAAGTAGAGGACAGCTATAAAATAAATCACCTGTTACCCCTTTTCACCTAGCGTTTTCTAAGAAAAAAGTTATTTAAAATCAGCTGTGGAAAAAAAAGTTATACTGCCTCATAGCTGGAGTGCAGGAAAGGCTTTCCAAGTCTGTTTGTTGTTGTTGTTTTTTTTTTTTGGTAGACTGTGGACAGAGGGAAGAATGAAACACAATGTCTGCATATCAACAGGGCCATGCGGGCCACTACGCAACGTGGGAGATAACTTTCCCCCTGCTATATTAAACATGTTTGCACATCAAGCTATACTGTCATATGCTGTGTTAGCAAACATCAAAATAAACCTTTCTATTATGAGCAGTGGCACTTTCTCAAGGAGTTATTAGAAGGAACGTTAGGGAGACTTCTGTATTTAAAGATTAAGATAAAAAGGGAGACTTAGAATATTTTTTAGTCTTGGGTTTGGGGAGGGGGACATGGAGTCACCTCTTGAAGTGGATGGCCTAGCTCTTAAGTTTGTTTGCTAAATTACAATGTCAGGGTCAGGATAAACTTAAAATTCTCAGAGAGAAAGGGAATGAGAGAGACGGACAGTGAGAGCAAGTGTTTAAGCTTTTCATAAACTGGTAAACATGCAATGCCAAGAAATAATCAAGTGTGAACTTTTCCCACTAATTCTATAAATAATTAACTCTGCTTCTTTATCCTACTTTGTAAGTAAAATTCAATAATTATAAAGCTAAAAACAATATTTATATTTATAGTAAAGTCAAAAGCAAAAGGCCTTTTTAAAAAAGTAACATATACCTTTCTATAAGAATCTTCTATCGTAGGATCATATTTTTCAACAAAAATTCCTTGAACAAACTGTACAGTCTGAAAAAAATTAACATACCATTACACTTTTGAAGAAAAAATCCAAATCTGTACGTTTTAAAATATTGATTTCAAATAGGTAGTTACGCCATTGATATAAAACACAACTGCTATATTTGAATGCATGCATTTGGTGAGATTGCCATAGAAGCCTTTTAAAAAAAAGCAATCACTATGCTCTTTATTACATAATTCTAAATTTAGAGATAATACAGGGTGGGGCAAAAACAGGTTCACAGTTGTTCCTATGGAAAATAATACAATAATTAATAAATATATAAGAAACCCTGTGTTTCACATCCTCACAACTGTGAACCTGCTTTTGCCCTACCCCGTATATTTAAAAATTTTTTAATGTTTCCAGTTTTAGTCTTAAGGGCTTAAATTTTGAATTTTAATTAGAAAGTGGATAATGGTTTTGTGTACACACATATGTGCTCATTCAAAACACCTCCCCATTACTTTGGATATAATTACAAATGAAAGAGCAGCTCATACTCTGTTACACACACTTCTCAGTTTGATCCCAACATATCAAGTTCTGTGCTAGGTGGTCACTCTAAATAGCTGAGTGAGATGGTCAGTCTATCTTATTGTGAGACTTTGCTAAACTCTCAATTATTCATCAAGTTATTTTCCATACGTTCTTCCCTTTCCCAATCACCAAGCTCTATTTTTCTTGCTCTACTATTCTTCGATAGAGAAAACATGATAAGCTTCATCTTGCCAAAATGATGTAGCGACTGCACAAAGGTATTATTTGAAAGAGGTTTTGAAATGAGCTTTAATATTTTCTAACATAAAAAATACATCTCACAACTCTCAATGAGAAAGACCAAAATTAATTCCTACCTGGCTCTGAAATGCAGACAAACACACGTTTTTCTATGTTCTCAACCCCTCTGTGCTTAGCTCAAACTGTATTCTGGCATATCTCATGTTGGCCTGAAACCAAGGTTCCAAAGGGAATACGATCTACCCTGATACAACTAAAAGTTGACTAAAAGTTACAAGAAAAATATTATATTGCTTCTAAAATCACAATGAGATTTCACCTTAAGTAAATGAAAACAAATTATCAAAACCTAAAACTCAGCAGAGGAACATGTCTCGGAGTGAATAGTTTAGGTACAGTGAGAATGACTTACCAGTGCAGATTTTCCAACACCTCCTGAGCCAAGGACGACTAGCTTATACTCACGCATGGTGCAAATTTGTCAAAAGCTAGTACCTATTAAAGAAAAGAAAAAAAGGAATTCTTAGGAATATATTTGTATTTATATGGTTCTTATATGAGGCATTCAAATTAAGTAGATTTATTTAAAAGTGATTCCTATACCGTACTATTGGGCTGGCCAAAACGTTCGTCTATTTCCGTATGATGGCTCTAGCAGTGCTTAGTTGTCTTGAACTTCATTTGAAACAATTTTGTTAGATTGTATTGTGACAGCTGTCATATCAGTGTGCATTTAAAAAAAACACATCAAAACTGGTCAATTTTTGTGCAGGCATTTTAATACTGAAGATGGAAGAAGATATACAGCATTTTTGGTGTATTATGCTTTATTATTTCAAGAAAGGTAAAAATGCAAATGAAACACACACAAAAAAGTTTTGTGCAGTGTATGGACAAGGCACTGTGACTCATTTAACGTGTCAAAAGTGGTTTGCAAAATTTCTTGTACTATGTACATTTTGGCCAAATAACTTTGCTGTGGGGCTGTCTTATGCGGGGAAGATGTTTAGCAGCACCCCTGGCCTCTACCCACTAGAAGCCAATAGCAGGAGAGAGCTGACATACTCAAAATATCCAAATCAATCAAGTTATTGGTGAAAATGAAAAATGTGTCTTTTATTTTATAGAAAAAAGTAAATAGACTTTTTGGCCAATCCAATGATATGGAACATTCCATAAACAGACTTACTAAAGAATGCTACTAATAGGGCTCTCTTGCAACACACTGGATGTAGAAAGAAACTGCAGAATTATAGACATGACTTTCAGCACTTCCTAAATTCAATTAGAATAAAATATTTATTAAGAAAGGGGGGGGGGCTGGAGAAAAGCATGAAGGGGTATTCTATTGTCTACAAGATGACAACAGACATGTTTACTCCCCTTTCCTGAATCATTTGTAACCTTGAGTCACAAGTAGGTGAATGCCTGCTAAGTAAAGGAATATACCCAATGGGGGAAAAATCCTGCCTTGATTGAGCTAATATTCTAGAAAGACAAAGAAGATAGGGGAGAAGTCTGTATACAAATCTAATCCACCTGTTTTGTACATAAAGTTTTATTGAAATACAGCCCATTCATTTGGTATTTTCTGTGGTTGCTATCTTGCTGTGATGACAAGAGTTAAGAAGTTACAGCAGAGACCATCTGGCCTGCAAAGCCTAAAATATTTACTCTGGCATTTACAGAAAAAAATCTGCCGACCCCCGAGACACACGAATGGTAAATGATTTAGCAGAGAAAGCAGACCAAATATCCATTACTAAAGTGGGAGAGGTATAAAGAGTCTGAAAATGGTCAGGAATCAGTGGCAGAACTGAAGAATGCAAATGCCCACTCAAAAAGTCTACTGAGTGTTCAGTGTTCAATGATGAAATACTGGAAATCAGTAACAATAAAACCAAAAAGAAGCCAACCATACCAAAGCTTATCATGATAAAATATCAGTACACTAAGGATATAGAAAGAAAATCCTAAAAGTTTCCAGAGTGGGGATAACGAAGAGGACACAAAGCTCCCATGTTCTTAGAAAAAAAATATTGGTCAGTGGCCAATGTACAAAAGGAGCCACCAGAACAGGTTTTGAATATTCTTAATCAAGAAATGACAGTTCTTTAGTCATAGTAACACGTAACACTACCTACTAGAACTGGTTCAAACACATTTAGTTAACTAATAACCATTTGCTTCAGTGAATATACTTCTGCAAACTAGTCAATCATCAATAGCCCTGTACTTCTGAAAGTGAATCACAAAGGGACTCACTTTGGGTATTACTTTGTGTTAAATTTCTTTACATGTTCTTTCCTTCCAGGTCATACTCTTAGAAAAAATATCCTTTGTTCTACTGATCTCTCTCTGACATTCCTTTATTTCTCCTTAGGATGCCAGGTCTATTGCCATAGGCTTCCTTTCAAAACTGTCTCCTTCACTTCTGCCTTTAAATACATGAAGGACTATCTACTACATGTTTTTTTGTTTCTGAATGGGACCCCCCCCCCGCTCGCCCGACCTCAAATCGACAAAGTTAGTTGCCAACTTTCGCATTTACTAGTTCCCTTATTTCTAAACTTGAACCCATCATTCCCATAGACTTTTTCCCAGTTACTGAATATAGTGTCCTTAACTTTTGTGAGCTGCATGGTTCTTATCAGATTATAATTTTAGGAATGAAGATACAAAATAAGAGTTGAATCAACTTTCAGCTTTAAGAAAGCACACATATAAATTTGGGACAAATAAATTACTCCTTATAAAAATTTAACCAAAGGTTTATCTCTTTTTCATGTAAAAAATCATTTAAAAATAGAATTACAAGTAACATTTCTATTATCAGCGCCATGCAGACATTACCCAACCATACAGATCTATAATTATCTATTTGAGAAATATTGAAAAAAAAAAATCCAAAACCAAACCTTAGGGTTCTAATGAAAGATGCCTCCAAATTGTATTTCTGAACCCAACTAGAATGGAGTGTGGTAAGTCTGGGGACAAGAATTTCCTAAATACCTCAAAAAATAAAGTAGCAAACTGGCTACTTTAACACAAACACTACTCATCTCCTGCATTCCTCTATCCATTATGTAGCTGGGCTATGTCAATTTTTAATTTTTTAATGACTTCTTCGGTATTTTTTCTTTATCTACAACTAAAACAAACACACACACTTCAATGAACACATATCAAAATGCCAACCAATCAACCACTGTCTCACTTGAGTGACAGTTCTTCTACAGTTGACATGAATCCACTCCTGCCTTTGAAAGTCTGTCAATCTTGGAACTCTAATTCCCTAAAATCATGTAAGACTAGCAGTCTGCTCTGCTCAGGCAGTGTCTGAGTAGGATAGCTGTTCCTTAAGTAATCAATAACTTCAGCTTTGTTTTTTGTTTCAGATATGAATGGTCTCTCTTATTCTTTGACAGTTGACTTAAGACCTTCACTGGCATCATTCCAAATGATGCCCTTAGACAAACAAGTGTACTGAATGGGCTGCTTGTGACCCACTTGTTTGTTCTTTTAACTTGTTATCAGATGAGTCAGTCTCAACAATGATGGGAGTTCCATTTGGTTCCTTGAGCTTTCAGAGCTAAATTTATTTTGTTTTACTAGGACATGCACCAAATACTGGCTTGGCCAAAAGTTTGTTTGTTTGTTTTTTCCCCCCTGTAACATGGCTCTAGTTGTGCTTACTTGTCTTTAATTTCATTTGAAACAATTTTGTTAAGAGTGTATTGTGACAGCTATCATATCAGCATGCATTAAAAAAAAAAACTTATCAAAACTGATGAATTTTTGTGTAGCCATTTTAATATTGAAGATGGAAGAAAACAAGCAACATTTTTGGCATATTCTGTTTTATTATTTCAAGAATGGTAAAAACACAATTGAAATGCACAAAAAGATTTGTGGAGTGTATGGTGAAGGTGCTGTGACCGACTAACATGTGAAAAGTGGTTTGCGAAATTTCGTGCTGGAGGTTTCTCGGTGGACAATGCTCCCTGATTGGGTAGTTGATAGCAATCATATCAAGACATTGAGATGAATCAATGTTATGCCACGTGGAAGAGAGCTGACATACTCAAAATATCCAAATCAGTGAAGTTATTGGTGAAAATTTAAAATGTGCCTTTGTTTTACAGAAAAAACTAAACGGACTTTTTGGCCAACCCAGTATATTGTCTATAAAAGCCTAAGTGATGTGCATTATCATCATCTACTACATGCCGAATGGTACTTTTTTATTTATTTTGGCGTCCTCTATTTGGTCTAGAAATGTTTGCTGAATAAAAGAATGACCAACTAAAGACTAAGAATTCACTTCCAGCAAAGGAAATAATTATTTTGATTTTTAAAAGACCACTAACAAGTCATCTTTCATAGGTAAATTGGCATTTTAGTTCACACCAATTACTGACAGATATGACAGATCCCTATTGAAAACAAACTACATAAATCTTGGTATTAAAAAGAAAAGTTCTTATACTTGCCCAGGAGAATTACAATTGGTACTGAAAAAACAAAACACAAAAAAACCCCTCTTCATCTATCTAGCTATTTATGTTACCTAATATCTGAAGCACCCAAACGACTTCAAAAGCATACTACACTACATTACACTACACTGTATTATACTGAACTATGTACCCGGGGGAGTTGTCATCAATTTGTGTCTCTCTCCACCCCGTTACCAAGTCTAATTCATTCTACCTTGGTGTCTCTGGAATTAATTTTATTCTCTCTACTCCATTACCTTATATAAGGGCCCTTGTTATTTCTCACACAGGAAAAGGGGGATACAGGAGGCAAGTATGAAGGGAAAACATTAAATGTTCATAGCATTTGCATTATTGTAGCTCACAATCAAGCAGGGTCTACAGAAAAAACTGCTATGGGTGCAGAGAAGAGAGTTCTCTCTCTGTAAGGATATTCCAGGCAAGGCTTCTTGCTTAAGTTGATATTTAAACCAGACCAGTGGATATTTTAAGGGAAAAGAGACACTCACTAGGAGATGATTTTCTGGGTGAAAGCATTAGCATGAAAGACTTCATCACATCAGGAATGCACAGGGGCATGGACAGATGGAAAAGGAAGGAGAAACCTCCTTCGCTGAAGAGTTTCACCTGGCTCTGGTGTGGCTCCGTTGGTTGAAGTGTTGTTCTGTAACTGAAAGTTGTGGATTCGATCCCTGGTCTGGAAGCAGGCATGGGCAACCCACAGTACTAATCAACCCACAGGGATGATTCCCTGTGCCGGCATGGATCCCCAGTCTGGGTGCATCCGGAGGCAACCAACTGATGCTTCTCTCTTGCACTGAAGTTTCTCCCTCTAACAGCAATGAAAAAAATGTCCTCACGTGAGGGTAAAAAAAAAAAAAAAAAGGAGGACTCCCAGTCAAGATGGTGGCATAGATAGACATGGCTTGCCTCCTTGCGCAACCGCATCAAAATGACAACTAAAATATAGAGCCACCATCATTCAGAACCATCAGAAATCGAGTTGAATTGAAGTCTAACAACTATAGAATTAAAGAAACCACATCCATCCAGATTGATAGGAGGGGCGGAGATGTAGAACAGGCTGGTCCCACATCCACATGAAATGTCTGGCCTCAAGGTGGGAGCTGGAGGACAGTTTTCTCTCAGACAGAAGGGCAGGCAGAGGCCACTGTCCCTTTTCTGAGCCCTCCTCTCATAAGGCCACAAAGCCTGCAGGCCAGTGCCATATCTGAGACTCCATCAAACTGGCTAACACTACCACCAAACTTATGGATTCACCCAAAATGTTAACCAAAACTTTTCAATATTAATAGCTGGTCTAGGCTCATGCTTCACAACTTCCTAAATCCTATCAAACAAGCAACAGTTGGCCTCAGTGAGCCACCAGCCCCCATACTTCTTGCTAAGTCACCCCAGGCCTGGCCCTAGCAGCAGCCAGCCTAGATTCACAGCTTGACTTTGGGAATGTCCAGGCGCAGCACAAGTAGCAGCCATTTCAGATTGCTTTAATAGCTCAGGAAGGGTGGCCTCAGGCAAAACATAGGTGGGGGCTGACTTTGGCCTGAACCACCAGGGTCACCCAGTGGAGGGCTACAGACTATGTCAGAGCACCACCACCCTGCTCCTGTATAACTGATCTTCCAGAGGGCAGAGGTTGGGGTCACCGGCCACAGCCAGTCCTTGCAGCTGACTGGCCTGGGAAAATCCCTTCCACTGACCTGCCAACAGCAATCAAGGCTCAACTACAAGAGGAGGGTGTACGTAAGCCCACACGAGGGATGCACCTTGAGTACCCAGCTTGGGTCATAGGGGAGGCTATGCCACTGTACTCTACGGGACACCTACTACATTAGACCATGCTACCAAGACAGGGCATGATAACAGTTCTAATACAGAGAAAAAAAAAAAAATGCAGGGAGGCTGCCAAAATGAGAAGATAAAGAAACATGGACCAAATGAAAGAACATGTCAAAACTCCAGGAACAGAGCTAAATGAAATGGAGTTAAAAGCAATTTATCAGATGCAGAGTTCAAAACACTTGTTATAAGGATGCTCAAAAAACTTAGTGAGGACTGCAACAGAATAAGAAATATCCAGTCAGAAACGAAGATTACACAAATCGAAATAAAGAACAATTTACAGGGAAACAGCAGTAGAGTGGATGAAGCCCAAAATCAAATCAATGATTTGGAACACAAGGACCAAAAACAACCAACCAGAACAAGATGAAAAAAGACTCCAAAAAGAAGGGGATAGTGTAAGCAGCTTCTGGGACTTTAAGAGGTCCAACCTTCACACCATAGAGATGCCAGAAAGAGTAGAGCAAAGAGCAAGAAATTGGAAATCTATTTGAAAAAATAATGAAAGAAAAACTATCCTAATTTGGTGAAGGAAATAGACATGCAAGTCCAGAAAGCAGAGTCCCAAACAAGATGGATGCAAAGAGGCCCACTCCAAGACACATCATAATTAAAATGTCAAAGGTTAAAGATAAAGAATCTTAAAAGCAGCAAGAGAAAAAAGTGTGAGTTACCTACAGGGGAGTTCCCCTAAGACTGTCAGCTGATTTCTCAAAAGAAACTTTGTAGGCTAAAAGGGATTGGCAAGAAATATTCAAAGTCATGGAAAGTAGGGACCTACAGCTGAGAACGCTCTACTCAGCAAAGCTATCATTTAGAATAAAAGGGCAGACAGAGTTTCCCAGATAAGAAAAAAAACTAAAGAAGTTCCTCATCACCAAACCATTATTATATGAAATGTTAAAGAGACTTAAGAAAAAGATGATGATCAAAACTATGAACAATAAAATGGCAATAAATACATATCTATGAAAAACTGAATCTAAAAAACAAACTAAGCAAAGAAGAACAGAGACAGAATCATGGATATGGAGAGCGTTTTGATGGATGCCAAATGGGAGGGAGCTGTGGGGAAATGGGTAAAGACGTGAGGGGATTAACAAGTACAAATTGATAGTTACAGAATAGCCATGGGGATGTAAAGTACAGGAAATGGAGTAGCCAAAGAACTTACACACCTGACCCAGGGACATGAACAATGGTGTGGGGACTGCCTGAGTGAGTGGGGATGCTGGTTGGAGGGGGGCAGAGGGGGAAAAATTGGGACAACTGTAATAGCATAATCAATAAAATATAATTAAAAAAAATAAAAGTTTGACCTGTATTTTACAAGAGACTGAGAGACAAAGAGTTTTCAAGTTTGGAAATAACATACACATACCTGTTTTAGTAAGATCACAGAAACTTAAGTATTAGTTTTCTGAATTTTGGAAATTCAGTAGAAGTTTACCAGAGATGAGAGATGATGACCTGAGTCAGGCAGTGGTATATTCGACAAATGTGTAAGTCATACTCAAGAGAACATGGTGACTGACTAGCTGGGGGTGAAGAGAACAGTAAGATGCACCATGATCAAACAGATGGATAGTGAGGCCATTAAATCAGATAGGCTGTCTAAGAGGAACGGACTTAGTTTAGTAGGTGTCTTTTATTTTTATCTTTTGGATAAATGATACAGGCATGGCAGTAGTACCTTTTATTTCTAAAGAGTTTAGAAGGAAGGTGCTCACTGCCTGTGTCAAAAGGTTTTAGGAATAGAAAGACCAATGATTTGTTTAGTGAGATTATAAATGTACCCCATGTGTAATTTGTTTCACTCAGTATTTCTGGCTTATTAATTTGAAATATATAATTTATTTAGATAATTACAAATCTCAGTTCTAAGGTTTTATCGTTTTAGTTGTAAGTCTTCATCAAATGAACTCTGATGAACTCTTGCCAGTTAATGAGAAATAAAAACATGAACAGAAATAATTAATATTGCACAAAACCAAAAGGAGTTTCTCAGTGTAAAACACTCTGTGACTAGCTTCTGTTGTACAATAAACCAAAAGATATAAAAAATCATTTGCCCACACAGTGCCTTTGGACTTGATCCTCTCCCTCTTTATCTGATGCCCTTTGTAAACAAGGGAGTAGCATCTTACATTCTATCTTTTGTTCTTCTAGGAATAAACAGACACTACTGGTATGGTGACACCACTGCCAGTGTTTACTTCACATTCTTCTAAGGTCTAGTCTTTAAAAAGTATCTACTAGAAGTCAACCAAAACTATTATAAGTAAAGTAGATTTCCTCCTCTTATGAAAAAGACACTATTCTTTCTTTTTCAACTTTAAATTTTCCATTTGTCTTCAAGTCTTTTCATCACCCAAATCTTATCTTTACATTTCCACACAGTAATATAATGTTGAACACATATGTTTAAAGGCACATGTAATTTTTCTACAACAATGTGGTCTGGGATTAGGTTTGTTAAGTCTCACAATCTAGCAAAAAAACCCACAGAGCTAAAATACCAGCAAAAGGATGATTCAGTCTTAAAACCAGAAAAATAATGAAAGAACCACCACCAAACAACCCACCCCAGAAAAGCCTATTTTAGCCAACAAATTAATCAAATTAAGGACACTATTATTATTCCACATAGCCACATGAGGCATGTTAAAATTTAATCATTACACAATGGGAGAAACTATAAAGGGGAGTAGGGAAGGGAAGGAACCAGGTCTTTAATGTACTTTTTGGTACAAAGTATCAATATTTTTAATGGCTCTTTCCAACAATACCAACAGGCACAGTGCATATCCCAGAATAGTTTATGTCCCACTCTGGCCTAACTGCTGATAAAATTTGCAAGGATTTTTTAGTAGCCACTTTAAATTATATGAAGTCTGTTCAGAAAGTCACTAGCCATATAACAGGAAAAAGAGACATTTATTGAAGATACAAAATACAATAAACATTGTACATAGGACAATGACGCCCAGTCCCCTTCAAGGTAGGCAACCTGGGATCTCACAGAGTTCTCCCGGCATCTCTTCCACTATTCAAAACACTCTGCAAAATCCTTTCTTGGACTCGCCATCAGCTGTCCCATAGTATTTTCCTGAATCTCACTGATGATGTGAAATCTCTTCCCTTTCAAAGGTGCTTTTAGTTTTGGGAAAGCCTGAAGTTGCAGGGCTCTGAATCTAGGTTATAGGGGGCCTAAATTCAACATTCTCAGGTGTTCTGCTTATTGCAGGCCTTCCAGAACACGGATCACTTTCAACAAATTCTTGACCATTTTTGAAGTGTTTGTGCCACACTTTTATCTGCACTGCACTCACTGCATTATCCCTGAAAGCCTTCTGAATCATCCAAATAGTTTTCATGGAGGAATGCTTAAGCTTAATACAAAATTTGATGGAGATCCGTTGCTCTACTCAGTCATTCTGAATGTGAAGGCCACTCAATGTATGTACACATGCTCACTCAACAGCATCTACTGCCCCTACTAGTCGAGTGAAGTTGTCATTGTTCTTGCATGAACATTCCAGTCGCTCTCCTTGGCTGCCAGGTCACACTGATGTCGTGCAAACTGCTCTTGTTATATTAACAATGGCTGGACTTTTTCCGGACAGACCTCATATACCTGTTACTACACAGATCTCAGCCATGGGGTTTGCTGATTTATATAACAGTAACACATACAAATGCTAATTCCAGCAAAGGACTGACAAGGTACAGACTAGTCTTAATATTTCTTGACCAAAACTTAAACCACTTGAAAGGGAATTAAGGAAAGTTTCAGGCCACCTCAGACTTTGCAATAGCTAATAAAGTACATTTAAATAAGGTATTCATCATCTGATAGATTTTGAAGTTCTAAAATTTGTGTAGCACCACCTTCTAATAAGGCCCTTATACTATGGTATATGGTATGGTATT